GAGAAATAACTCTGAAGACACTAAAGTCAGTGAAGAAGGCTGGGGAGGATGCCATGCTGACTCCCCTGGGGAGGAAGGAGGAGCAGAGACAACACAGGACGAACTGACCACAACCCCCATTCCCTGTCCTCCTGCACTCCAGGGGGCAAGGAGGTAGAGAAAATCAAGAGGAAAGTTTAGCCCAAAAGGGCAGGGGTGGGGGAAGGTATTTTCAAAATTTGGTTTTATTTCTCATTACTCTACTCTGATATGATTGGTAATAAATTAATTTTTTTCCCAAGTCAAGTCTGCTTTGCCCATGTCCAGCCAGGATCAACCCACCCCACAGGATTCTGGTTTGGCTTTTGCAGCCATAGATGAAGACAAAAATCATGATTATGACAGCATTAACTTGTGTTCTAACCTGAAATGAAGCATGATACAATGCACCTTCTCCCTTTTTGCCCCCACCCTGCTTGCCCTTCTTCCTTTCTCAGGGTGGTGAGCGACTTCTCTTAAACAAACTGCAGACTCTCCACATGCCTGGTTTCTACAATTACCTAAACTAAAACACCACTGTGTGAACAAAAATGGTCTGTTAGGAGATCTGATTTGCTTGCCACTTCTGTGCCTTCTAACACTTAATTACTCTTTTCTCCCACTGAACCACTTTCATCTCTCCAACACTTTGTATGCTTTGACTTCTCTCCCACCTACTCATGGCTGCTTTGCTCTAATTAGAGATGCAAACCAAGATGCTGTCAGCTCACAGTTGCACATGCAAGTTTATAGGAATGAATATCATGTATGGGATGAGTGTTTTTCATTTATCTGCAGGGATTTTATGCCAGTTTAACAAGGTTATTTAAAAAGCATTGAACTATTGAAGGAATGTGTCACACTTGCTCCATGATTACCAGCACATCTTTTTACAGACAGTAATACTTCTCAGAAAAAACTGTTCTAGATGATTTAAAATGACCATGTGTGCCACATGTATATGGTTACTACTAGCATATGCAAATTTATTTAACATTTGTAGCTATAGGTTGTTTTCTTGTATTCTTCTCCAGCTCCTAGTTGCTGTAACTGAAGGAATGAATCCTTCTTGCTTATAGCTTTATTTTTCAGTTGTTACTGTTTGACCTTTTCCAAAAGATTTTTTTCCTAAATGTTTTATTTAATTATACGTGGATTTAATTTATAGATTGTAATTTAGGGCTTTCACGTAAGTTTGCTTGGAAATATACTTCATTCTAATATATGTTTTCATGGATTTTGTTCTATTTTTTTATTTAGGAGCTTTTGAAAATGGAATTGCAGAAGGCAGTATCAATCAGTCAATAGGAAGAATAAAGGCTATTCGTTTATCGATCAGTTCTGATTCCCCTGTCTGGGCAATACTTAGTGAGGTAAGAATGTTAATAAAAGCACTTTTATTATTCATTGTTAAATGGGTTTTGGTTGTTCCAGTCATATAGTATTGATAATCATGACTTCTGTTTAATTTTAAATTAATTTTGTGTGGGGAAACTCACAAAAGTGGAGAATTATATTAATTATTCAGGGGAGAAGTTAAATTTACGTCACAGAAAGTGCTGGAAATGCTTAAATGGGATGATTCTCCAGTTTTGCAGTGCTGCAAGTGTAGTTGCTAGGATTTGGGTCTTGATTTAAAAAGCTTTTTTCAGTCACCATCTTGTATATTAATTATATTATGTCATTATATTATGTAATTTTCAGATGAGCATGTGATTTTTTAATTCTTCAAGTTTTTCCCAAGTGTTTGAATATCAGTGAGCCCATAAATAGAAAATACTCAGCAGAAGTCACTGAAGAGAATTACTACAGCCTTAAAATCTAGCCATAGCTGGAAGAAGGGAAAAGCTAATGTCTTAGGGAAATGTTTCTGCAGAATTTAGAAAATAATATTTTGATTTTTTTCAGGTACTTATCAAGACATCTGAAAACTGAAAAAAAAAATAATTTTTGATGTGTTGCTTGTTACAGACTGTTTGAAAACAAGGCTGACAGCAACAAAAAAAGAACTGGGTAAAAAAACCAATTCCAAACCCATGTCATTCTTAATATTGTCTATTATGAAAGAGTTGAGATAACTCTCATGTCTTTATAGAAAAAGGTGTAAAGAACCCAGTTATGTTTGTAATTTCTGTAAAACGTTTTTGAGTAAGGTGTCATCTATAAAAATCTCACCTTATCTTGGCAACATTCAACATATATAGTTATAAAAAATTGATAAGGCATTGCAGGCTGTCTCAGGGACTAAACCATAAATGTATAACAAATTTCATCAGAAGTAAAAATATGGACATTTTTTGAAAATATTAGGAACACAGTGTTCAACTCCACTAAAAACACTGCTCAGTTTTGTAGGGAAAGGAGAACTGAAGGAAAAGCTGTCAATATTCATTGCAAGTATTCAAAGAAGTCCACAGGAACTGTTTAACGTTATGAAAATGGATCTCAAACTTAACATAAGTGTGTTTCAGTCTTAATGTAGCATAAGTTATGTTTAATATTTTTTAAATGAAAAGTGCCTCCAAGTTACCATTTGAATAATTTTATACTTAAACAGATATTGTTTGGAAGATTGTAAAACTTTTCGATGAATTGTGTATTGAATTAACTACAGGAAATAAGGGTATTATGTGTAACTATATTTTTGTAAAAAGAAAATCTATTTAAATAAAATTTTGGATCCTATTGTTTGATAATCACTGTGTAGTCATATTTAAATCCTGGTCACAGGTCAAAATTCGACATAAATTTGAAAACAGCAATCTCATTTGACATATTTCTAGGAAATTACAAACCACCTTGGGCATCTACCTGTAAACAGGCAGAATTCCAGTATCACATCCTGAGCACGTGAAGGAAGACAGCGCCTTCATTCCCCTGCACAGGCATTGCATCCTAACAGCAGGAAATTAATTGCAATGTACAGCTCTGCGTCGTTTTGTACTGAATGGGTTACATTAATGTAATATTGTATTCTCAATGCAAGAGTGTTTTTCATTTAGAATGAGTTGAAATCAATTGTCTTACATTAAAAGAGTTAAGAAGAGGTTTGGTTTTTTTTAAAAGACCACCTCTAAAAATGTCTTGATAACATTACTTGCAGGTTTATAATTTATTTTTTTTTATATTATTTATTTAGACTATTATTTACAGGATTCTTTATGTACTGTGGTGCTATATATGTGTGTGTGTAGATGTATATACATATATATATGTCCATGTATTTCTTGGACCTAATATTGCAGCCTTCATTATGTTAAGAGTTTAATGCCAGTTAAGAATCAATGCAATAATCCAGCATCCTTAGAAATACACTGAGCGACATCTTTATCCATCAGCCCTTACAATGAAAACATAAAATCTTATTTTGCCTGCAACAGACTCACAAGCTGGGAGTAGTGTCTGCATTCAGGGTGCCTTACACTCACTTGTTACAAGGCAGTGTCACTGTCAGTATGAAATTTTAGGGTGATTATTAAATCAGTGAAAACACGGAAAATACTAAGGCAATAGGTTTTGCTACCAAAACCTCTTATTTTCACAGTGAAATGAGATTCCACTCTAACTCATGAGGCATAATTTCAAAAAGATCATCAGAATACCTGAAATTATGTTAGGAAGTGATTGGACTTTTACAAAATATTGTTTAAATGTAATTTTTCATCCTGTGCTGCCTGCTTTGTGCTTCATTCATTGTTTCTGGTTTTACATCTTTTACATAACCATTGCAATCACAGAACACACTTCCCATCCCTCTGATGTAAATGAGGTTTTAGTTGACATCGTACATAATGAATGCTTGCACGTGAACCTTTAAAGTAAAATTTTGCTTAATCCTGATCCTTCCCTGTGCTTTGGGGAGCACAGAGGTTTCTTGCACAGTCTGTCAAACCACAGCCAGATTAAAGGCTGCCAAGAGGAAGCTTTGATTCAGGTAATGAATCCAGGGAATTAAGGATCTTCCCCTAACTTTACAGGTGACTGGTTTTGAAGTCTAGGCATTGTGATTGCAACTTATAAAACCAAAGGCAATAAATGAGAAAAACAACTCTGAAAGGAGTTTCAGATTCCATATTGATCACTAGGCTCCTTCAGTAGGAAATTGCAATTCAGTACTTTCACGTGGTTTAAAATATAGTCTCAAAAATATTGACGACCTCGAGGTCATTGTACATATACCCAACCAGGTTAAATGCCTGTGTGGGAAGAAAGCTTATTCAATATTAATATTGATATTTAATACTATTTGAATAATTATGTATTAATATATACTGTTAATATAATATTACTGTTGAATAACATCAATATTGAACAAGCTTATTCAATGTTAATAATGGTTTATTTAACCCATGATTTTCACTGGAGCACACAATTTCTCTGCATGGCGTGCCTCGGTTCTTGTCTTAAATCTTTTGAAGTACTTTTGAAAGGGAGAACACTGACATACGTCTTGTATAGAAAAGGCAGCTGAGAACTGCGCTTCGGTTATTTCTTTAAAATGTGTTTATTTCGCTCGGCTCAGCGACCCCGTATGTTGGGGTCATCAAACACGTATAATTGGACTGCCAAAGTGAGCCTCCGAATGTAATGAAGGGTTTTATTAATTTGAGGTTAGTGGTGGCGGAGAAGCCCTTTTTCTGGGCTGACCGCTGGCCAGGGGCGTGCGGAGCAGGACGATGTGTGACCCCCCTGTCCGCGGCCATGACGGTACAGCCGCTCTCACGGGCGCCCATGGCCGAGGGGAGGGGGCGGCCCCGGGCAGCGGCCGATTGGCTGATTCACCGCGGGAGGGGCGGGCCGCCAGTCGCGCACCGAGCCGCCATTGGCTCTCGCCTCACGGCGGGCGCCGCCGATTGGCGCGGCTCCCTGCCCGTCTCCCGCGCCCCCACGCGCGCTCGGCTCGGCCGTGCCGCGATTGGCCGGGACGCGGCGGCGCGGCGCGAGCGGCGGCACCTGCTCCCGCTCGCGTTCCCGCAGCCCCGGGAGCGGCGGGGGCGCCGCGCGCGTGCGCGGCCGGGGATGCGCCGGGAACATCGGCCCGGCCCCGCTCCCGTTCCCCGCTCCTCATCCTCATCCCGCCGCCGGTGACCGCCCGCCGCGGATCGGAGGACGCCGGGAGCGCCGGTAACCGCCCGCCGCGGGGCTAGGAGCGCCGGCAGCGCCCGGGGAGGGAGAGTGGCGTCGCGGTGCTTGGTAACGAGGGCGGCGGCGGCGGGAGGTGCGTGTGGGCCCCGTGTGGCGAGGGGAGGGGGCGGCGGTGGTTCCCTGGCCCCACCCCGCTCCCCTCGGCCCTCACGGCCGGCGGCGGGTCCCGAGGGTGGGTTCGGGGAGCGCGGTGATCCCCCCGCGGGGGTGGGTTTGGGGCCTCGGGGGCCCCGCCGGGCACGGGGAGCAGGCCTGCGGCCCTCGCTCTCCCTGCCAGCTGTCCCGAAAAGCGGGTTCGTGCTGGGCGATGGCTGAACACCGAGCGGCCGCTCGGTTGACCCGAACTTATTTTTCTAAAATTTTTTAAATTTTTTTTTTTTTAAATTGGAAAGTAACGCCTTCCTGAAGGTTTCAGCAGCAAAACACCTCGAGCAGGCACCTCCAGGAGCACAGCATTGCAGCGGGAGTAGCTGCTGAGTTACACATTGGGCACCCAATCCAGTACGGTGTGTTTGGCGCTTCGGCAAACGAGGGAGTGAAGTACGGCTTTCACAGCAAACAAAGGGAAAAATAAAAAGCTGTGTAAGAATTCTTGAGTGCTTTTCACGGAGCAGTTGCAGCTGGATGTTGTCTTCGGTCAGGTCGATGCCAGTGCGGCAGTTTGGGGGAGGTAATAAGGCAGCACGTGGTTATGGATGGAAGAAGAGGTGGGGGGAAAAAAACCCTCCGCTTTTGTAGCCCTGGATGGAATTGCTGTTTGGCCCTGGGGAAATCCCATGTGTTGATACTGCATGCAGGAGCTTCAAACCTTGGAGTGAGAGAGAGTGCTAATGGCTGGCTTATTCCCTTTCTGCTTGAGAATGCAGAGCTCTGAGACTTGCGTGGAAAAGGCATGACCCTCTTCAAAGTCCAAAGAAAAGTTATTAATAATTATTAATAATCTAAAAGATCCTGATCTCTGTTTAGTTCTGCATAAAATGGAGCAATGGTGCCACTACCTTAATGGCATGTGTAGAATGTGCAGCAGGTCGCAGTGCAGAGGTCTGAAGGTTGATGTGCTTGCACCATCCAACTGTCTGTGGAAATCAAATCATTCAGGTGGGAAGGGACCCCAGGAGGTGTCTGCTGTGGCATGGGCAGCCCTGAGGCCAGTTCAGTTTGCTCTGAGCTTTGTGTGGTCTGTGTGGAAGACCCCAAAGACTGAGCCTGGGCAGCCTGTACTACTGCTTGCCTGCCCTCATGGGGGAAAAAATTCTAATATCCAGTCAGAATATGTTTTCAGTTTATGTCTGTTGTCTTTCTTAAATATTAGTATGTGTCTCAGAAACACCAGCTCGTTACTTGAGGTGCAATGTTCTGCTGATGTTGCAGCACTGTTGCTGATCACAAGAGCAGTAGTACTGCTGGCTCAGATGTCCCTTCTGATGTGTGGCAGTGCTGTTGTTACCCATGGTAAACAGTGACCAAGCTATGCAAAAATTTAAGTTTAAAATTACAGGTCTGGCAGAATTGTCAAGGTGTTTATCTAGAGAAAGATGAATATTAGCTGCCCATCCCAAAAGGAGAGATTGGGAATCCTGATTTGGAGGTGCAATTATTCCAGGATAGATTTCTGTGTCTCAGTTTCTATGAATGCAGATTTTCTATCCAGTTCTCTCATGGGTCATACAGAACTGTTGGCTCAGCTGGTCAGAGCATGGTGCTAATAATGCCAAGGGTGTGGGTTTGATCCCTGTATGGGCCATTCATTTAAGAGTTGGATTTGATGATCCTTGTGGGTCTCTTCCAACTCATTCTGTGATTCTGTAAAATGCTGGCAAGATTTTTATGGTTTTTCAATTATCTATTTGCTGTAGCTGGCTGAAGGATGGTTTGGAAGTCACTGGTCGTTGGTGTTTTGGCAAAACTGCCAGTAAACATGTATGGGGTTTGTGTGAGAGCCATAATAATCTGGGACAACTTGCTTTGTTCTGCTGAGGAAGTTTTAACAGTGAGCATCCTTCTGGCTTGGTTTTATTGTCACCTTGAAGAAAGAATAAGAAAAGTTTTTCATAGATCTTCATGTGTTAATTAAGAAAGTTCAGTAGGTTTTAAAGACCATTAAACGTGTAGTGTGAAATTCTATTTTGAGACCACAAATTCTTGATTTATTTTACATTCTAAGACTGTAATGCTGGCAGAGTTCACAAAAATAAAGGATGTGATGGGATTGTTTAAAACCATCTTTGCCTGGCAATTGAGTGGTGACTGCAGTTGGTCCTGATAATGCATTTTGGTGTTTTTGGGATTATTTTAGAAGTGTATCAAAAGGTCAAAGGTTAAAATGAGCCTTCTCTTCTTGAAGGAAGAAGTAAGAGATCTAATTGAAGACTGAATGAAATTAGGATAAAGTCCTAGGCTAGGACCAGGAATTAGTGATAAGACTCGGCGTGAACGAAGTGAAAGCATCAGGAGTTTTGGAAGGGAGCTGTGTAGAAAGGTGAGTATTAGTCTGATTTCTTGGATGCCCTTGTTATTCTATGGATGGAACAAAAGTGGATGGGACTAATTACAGTAAAATTACAGCTATGTAAGTGAAAAACATTTTGGATTATGCACAATATACACCTGTAATGTATTGACAAAGAAAGGTGTATCTCTTCACCTGCTTTAGGAAGAGAGGAGGAGACCACCTGCATGACAAACTAGCTAAAGGTAGGCAAGCTTTATACTAAAAAAGCAAGTCTGATGCCTGGTTAATATATAACACTGTAGGTAGGAGCTAAGGAGTCCCAGAAGGTATTGATATGAAATTCTTTGGCTGTTTTTATCCTAATATAATCGTTAAGAAACACAACAATGAAGGTGGTACAACGAAGTGTGACACCCTCCGGGCAAAGGTGTTCAAAATATACCATAAAATTCAATGTTCACCAGGATAAACTGAATTACTTTCGGTCTTCAGGGCAAGATTATTTTAAGTGCTAGAATTGGCCCAGGAGGTCTATGAATTAACAATATCTGTAGTTTTTAACTAAAATTCTAAAAAATCAAATACAAAAACCACAGTAAAGTTTGCAGATAACTGTTGAAATGTATCACTATGGTAATAACTGAGAAAAGAAGGAACCACAGACCTGCCATCCTCAAGCAAGGTTATAAAGTTGCCACAAGGAATGGCAGGGATTATGGATAATAGTGTGGGGCAAAAAAAGAATGGTAATGTGGTTAATGTAGTTTTGTGGAAAATAAGTGTTAGTCCCAAAAAGAAAGGCTTTTGATTATTTCCCAATATTGACCTAGTACTAGTGTGTAAAATATTTCTGTATGATACTCCTGGATTTTGGCTCTAAATATAATCAGTGCAGTCAATATTAATTTAATAGATCTTATTTTTTTTCCTTATTCCTTTTTTCTTTTTGGATATTTGTAGCACAATCATGCTGGGATGTGAGTTTTTTTAGCCCTGATACTGTTTGATCTCTCTATGTGTGGCTCAATAGAACTTGCAGGTGTTAAAAAATGAATGATGAATTGGTGCAATTCTAATGTTTGAATTGCTTAGCAGATCTGATAAACCCAGGAAGGAAGAAAGAGACTCACACTTCCAGTATAAGATAGTATCTAGAATTGCTGGTGTATTCAGAGTTGTAGTGGTAAACAATTTAATCTCTAAAGGATGATGATTTAAGTGAGAGGGTGGCTGCTTTCTCAGGGGCAGAAAGCACCTCAGCAGCAAAGTATTTAGTATGACCAGTAGTGGCTAAAGGTAACGTACTGTTTGAAAATGTCGTACAATAGCAAGTTAAATATCAGTATTTGTCTTTATTTTTAAGCTTACTGTGAATAGAATTAATAAGAACCAAAGGATAAACACCTTTCCAGAGGTATCTAGAATCTGTCTTAGTTCTGTTTCCATATTCAGACAAAAACAATTTTGGAAAGAGGTGTTTTTTGCAAGACCTTTGAGGAAACTTGCATAGGTATGTCCTTGACAATGCACTGCTCCAAACCACTGGATACTCCAACATAAATGTGAATTCGTATGTCTTACAGATGTGAAGCAAAAAATACAGGGCAACAACGTGTTCTTTTTCGCAGCAGATCACATGGAAAGGCTGGGGCAGTTGTCTGCTGTTGACATTCATACTTACACAGATTAAAGGTTTTCAGGTTTCCCTGAAATTAGAAATGTATTTGTATTTAAGCTTGAACTTCTGCTTTAACTAACTTAAACTTTAAAATCCTTGGAAAATTTTGAAACAGAAAATATTTTCTGAAACAATCTTCTGAAACAATACTTTCTTTGGACACTTAACAGCTGGAGTTGATATAAGCTCTGCGCTCATCTAAACATAGTCATTGGAAAAAGAGGCAAATAGAAATGTGTAATTCTGGCAGTAGATAATAATACATCCTAAACCTAATGATTTTATTTGCCCTAATGAAAGGGATGTTACTTATTGCTACATTGTAGAGACTGATTCAAATTGGTTACTTGTTCAGATTGTTAAAGAATGGGAAAATAAAAGCAATCTCACATAATTCTTAAAAAAACATATATACTGCAGTCAAATTCTTGCTAAATTTGGCAAGGTAAGGGAACAGGCTGCAAGCACTTCCATAGGGACAACAAGAAGTAAAAGAGAGTCTGAGTCAGGGCTTTGTAGTAAAAAAAAAAAATTCAAATTAAGAAATAGCACTTTGCTAAAATATTATAGTGACAATGCTTTCTGATAGTTGTTTCCTGTTGTTTTAATGTGGTTTTTTCTCTTGTAGATAAAGTCTGGGGTAAAATTAAAATAGTATTGGTAATATCCTTGCAAAAACATTTAAAATTTAAAACTTTCAGTTCTTCAGATAACCAAGATGCGCTTCCAGTGGGACTGGCTGTGCTTGGGTGTCCTGCTAATTAGCTCAGTGACTGCAGAAATTGAAAATGAAGAAAATCTGGATGCAGATGTTGAAGTGGAGGATTTTGACATGCAGTCCCAAGAAACTGAGGTTGACAGAGATAAACCTTCCATAGAGGTAAGATTACAGAAGTCTTCAGTGAAGTCTGGTTAAATACAAGATGCATAGTTATAACATAGTTATTAGAAATTGGTGGACAAATATATTTTAAAAAGACTAAATTAAAATGCAGTTGACAACTGAGTGGGTGTCAAACCCAGCAGTCTTTCAGTTGCTGTGTGTGACATGTAGGGCAAACTTAAAGAATGATTCTCTTATGCCAAAGTGTAAAATCTCCTACCTGTGGTGGATAGTCGAGAAAAAGGTTTTACTTCAATCTGGATACAGAACCTTTTGGTGCAAGTCCTAACATGCTTTTTCTAGAGAAGAAAGCAGAAAGCATCTGTCAGAAAGCATCTGAAATTTTGACTTTTGACCAGTTTCTGGATTTCATCAGTCACAGCTGCTTTTTGTCACTGTCTTTATTCTCAGAAAATCTTCCTTTTGTTATGCTGTACTTCAAAATAGATGCAAATAGCTGTAGGCAATATTAATAACTTATTTTTTCAACTCTGTTGTGTAGCCCAGTTGTAATGTGCTGAGTAGATAGGAAAACAGAAGAATGGAAAACATGTGTAGAAAGAAATAGGGAGGGAGCAGAGAATTGGTGCAAGTTCAGTAAATTTTCTGGGGTTTTGTTATACATAAGATGTAACAAAGGTTTAGTTACGAGCTTTGAACAACTTATAAAATTCACAGTTGTGAAATTGTTCAGTGTTTAAGGGATGCACCCAAAGTATTGAAATAGGGGTGGGGAGGAAGGGGTTTTATGCTGCTAGGTATTTCTAATGAACAAAATCTGTTGTTCTGCCTGGGTGGATTACTTCTGGAGGTATGATAGTGTGTTTCAAATGAAAAATTGTAATTTATGTTAGAACATGTATCTGTACTCGTCTCTTAGGTTGTGTACCAGACTCCAACGCCAACCGGGGAAGTGTATTTTACAGAAACCTTTGATGGAGGATTGTCTGGGTAAGCTTATGCCTTAAAAGGATAAACTTTTACTTTCATCAATTTAAATTACAGTGGCCAGACTTATTTTGTATTCAGTTTTTGACTGGTATCCTTATAAAAATTAATTGTTACAGGGGTTAGAATTGGGTAGGCTGTTAATGCTTGCTCCAGATACATCAGAATGTTAAGATGGACCTTTACCATTTCAGATATGTTGCTATTTTTTTGTGTGTTTTAAGGAAGCTTTTAATAAACTCTGGGTTTGTGGACATTAAGAAAAATAATATGAAGATTTAGCCAGTTGAGTTTAACTAGCTGAAAGGTGAAGTGCATAGCACTTCAGTAGCATTACACTTCAGTGCATTACACTTCAGTAGCAAGCCCTTTCTTCCTTTTCACATGATCTTAGGTATGTGTAAAAAGGCAGCACCTTCACCATTATAGATAAAATCTCTATTGGAAAAGACTTTTAAAGCAGATTTTTATTAATTTATATATATATTTTATGTTATTGCTTCCCATACTCAAGAGGAGTTAAGTATTTATGAGACTACTGAAGTGTTCCTAGGTAGTCCTTACTGTAATTAAATTTTAGAACAATATTCAGGTTTATCTCAACAATTCAAGCCAGAAATTTTTGTCTTGTCTGTATTTTGGAAGTGTTTTTACAACAGGGTGGCAATGTTGGGTGTAATTGCTGCTGAGTGACTTGTGATGTTCAATGAAATTCTGTTTTGTGACCTGCAGTCAGTTGCCACCAATGCACTGTCAATAAAAAAGAATGTAATTATTACTTTCTATTTCTGGAATAGACTTACTACTTTTAGTTGGAAAACAATTTGGCATTCAGTCCTCTTTCTACCACAGATGTAAAGGGTGTAAAATCTCAAGGACAAGTCAAATGCTTACCATGTAAATTTGGTCTATATGATCCCTGAGTTCTCTTTTTTAAAATGAAAAAAGAATCAAGCCAGGTCAGCATGCTGTCACTGGCTCAAGATAAGTGATTGTGCATCCAGGTAGAATCTGAATATGGTTGAAATCTCTTCAGTAAGAGCTGGTGTAATATTAGAGTACTTTCTTACTATGAGAACAGCTTTTAAAATATGAATGGAAGTCCCTGTTTCTAATGAAAAATCAAGTCTTATTATTGGCATTTTTCCCTCTACACTTTGATGCTGATGAGCACAAGAGCTATCTCTTGATTCGTGAAGAATCAATAAAAAAGGTGTTTTCATATGTTACTAAAATTGATGGAACAAAAACTAACTCCTGGGAAGAGCCAGATCGAGGCGAAAGGAGATGCAGTGTGGTATCTTCATTTGGTAGAAACTTAAAGCTGCCAGTTTTTTGCTTCCTGTGGGAAAACTGAGATCCAACTATTGTTGGAGTGAGATTATACATCATGAGACATGTCTGTTGAGGGTGCATGATTTGGACTGTAGACAAAATAACGTGGTAGCAGACACCAGTAACTTTTGTAGGATTGAATCTTACTCCCTTTTTCCAATTGTTTCTGAACTCTTCTCTTCTGTAGAGTTACAGGCCACTGAACATTAGTCTGTTATTACTCACATTATGTTCTTTCATATTTTCTTATTTTCTTACATATTTAGACGAAAGAGAGAAGAAAAATAAGTTAGCAAGCTCCAGTCTTCAGTTTATCGCTTGTCTTAGTGATGTGGTCACTTCTAAGTGTTAAGTGCAAAGGCAGTACCCAAGATGACAGGAAAAATTGTTAAATAGAAGAGGTAATAATGGTTAAAAAAATGAAACAAACCACTGAAAACTTTGATTAACAAATGCAAAGGCTTAGCTGGGATACTCGAATGATAGCATTCATCCTAATTTCTAGCTTTTTGAGATCTATTCAAAGATTAGCTTGTCTTCCTACTAAATCTAATATTCAGAGCTTTAGCTACAATGCTTGGGATTTTTTGGTCTAACTGTACATAATTTACATAAAAGTAACATATATGGAAGAAAGATTTATAAAAAAGTAAGCAGCATGTTGCCTTTCTCCCCTAAAATTGTGGAAAAGCCTGCACGTAAATTGACTGGGTAAATCACCAGAATAGAGTAGCTTTTTTGGGAATGGCTCTTGCAAATCTTTTGTGTGACTTGTAGAGATGTTTTATTTCCTCATTGGTCTCTGTCCTGGTACACCAAGGATCTAGTTTGCTATTTATACTGGGAAGTTTTTCCAGCACTTCTGTTAACAGTGAACAAATGTGACTGAAATTCCAGCAGAAAAGATAAAGTATTCATCCCTGAAATACTCCATGCAGACCACAGTTCAGAATGAATGAAAATAGCTCTTTACAGAATTAATGGTGAGAATGTGGTATTGTAGTTGATACAATGAAGAGTTCAGCAACACTGTTGGCCTAAGATATTCCTGTGCATGGCTCAGGGTAGAACCACTGTATGTCCACATGGGGGTGGACTGCCCTTTTCCTTTTTTTCCTCTCCAAATGAACACTTTGTGTGTAGACTGTACATGTCTTTTTGGTAACCTCAGTTTGATAAGCTGATTGCCTTGCTCATACTATCAAGTTGATCAGGAGTGTGTTTACCCTGTTGGATCCTCTGTGTGCAGAACACTTGGAATCTGTTCAGTGTATAATTGATTTGTCATTTAGACACTTACCATTCCCTTTTGTCCTCTGCTATGCAGGTGTATTGTTGCTGTCAGATAAAGTAAAGGTTCCTTTGGATGATTTTTTTTCTTTCCTTGTCATAGTGGAGGTTTTATATACTTGAAACTTGCTGTTTTCCCTGTATTTTGTACATTGTATGCTGACATAATATTCTTACATTCTGCCAAACTCAGCTTGTATATAAAACTGAAGTCTATTCAGAATTAAATAATTCAGGAATTGAATTCCTTTAGAGTTTTAATTGTATATTCCTTTGCATTTTTAGGAAATATTTTGAAATGCCACATCAGACTAATCTACTTATGATTTTTCTTTTCATGTTCTTTGAAGTACACACAGTTCCATGATGCTGACTGTCAAAATCATTATCACAGGTTCACACCCTAGAAGCAAAAGCTGTTTTTCCCGTGCTTGTTAAATAATAGAGCTTTGCATAGATTGTTCAATGACCAGTACACTTTTTGTTTTAGGTGGGTGTTGTCTAAAACTAAGAAAGAAGACATAGATGATAACATTGCTAAATATGATGGTGAGCACTTTTAATGTTTACCTCCATTGTATGGTTTGTGATGTTTTGTTGCTCTTTGAGAAATAACTACCCTTTACACAGAACTTATCTTTGAAAACCTAGACGAGACAGGTCAAAAATATTAGTTTGTATAATGACTGTTACCCTGAAACTGAGATGCCAAATGTTGCTCATCCTCACACTTAGCGTGAGGATAACTTTTTTGGTCATCCCAGCAATCTATTGCAATGGATGACACCAGAATACACTCTGGCATCTGAATATTCAGTATCGATTGTTTATGAATATTGCTTCTTGAGAACTGTCTCCTTTGAAATTGTGTCAGAGAGATTTACCACTTCAATGTCAGCTGTTAAACAGGTTTCTAAAGCAGCACGTTCCATCTTGCTCTGTCTCTCCAACTGATTCCTGGGTGGGTCTCTTGGTATAGCCTTTGAAACAAGAAAGTTAAATGGAATGATGTTTTTCTTTAAAATACTTCTTCAGATTGCCTGTGCTTGAATATAGAGCTGTCCAGTGGTTCTTGTACAGTTTAGCCTTACAGTAGGCTAAGATAAATTTGGAAAGCAATCATGAAGAGGTTGTTTTGCTGGTTTAATTATTGGAGTTTGCACTTGACTTGTCACTTCCTAGTCTATAACTGGCTGCTTAAATGTAATTCTAGGCTGTTTGACAGATGTGTGATCTGTGGCCATAATTTTGGAGTCCAAATTTATTTAATTCAAGACGGAGTGGAGAGAACGGAAAAGGTTTCTGCTACAAAAGAAAAATATTTCCTGCTGTTTTTATGTCAAATGAAATCAGTTAATGTTAATAGAAAGTGGTAAGCAAACATAACTTGCAGGACTTTGGTGAGCAGAACAGATGTTTTTATGTTTAGCAGTTACCAGAAATAACTGGTAAAATTAAGAATTTCCAGAGGAGATATCCATACAGATAAGATGCTTATAAGAACTGATGTCTCCCTGTTTACTCAGCCTCATATTAGATAGAAATTGTCTTTAATGTCAGAAAGTTGTTTTTGGTTGAAGTCACTCAGAAAATTCAACATTTAATAAAGTCAGTGGTAAAAACACATTTTGGAACTATTTTCCCATCATTTGTTTTTTCAGGCTTGTTGTTTTTGCCCAGTGTTATTGCTTGGCCTTAGTTTCCATGAAGGAACACTATTGAAGAGGAGGGAATTTTCCTCTCTCCTGTTTAGCAGACTAGAAGAAACTAAGAATTTTTTTTTGATGTACATACCTGCCCTTCCTTAACAACTCTACACATATTGCACTTCAGTTGAATAAAAGTAAATAGCTGTTTCATTGGCATTTCATAATTTTATGAATCTTCTCTAAAATACATGCTGAAGAACTCATGACCTTTTTTTTTCCTTTTGACATTGACACAGGCATTTTTCAGATTACAGTGAATTGTAAAAGTAGTTTTTTTGTGCTGTGTTCATTCCTGGAAAAAGCCCCAATGAATCTTGTGCTGGTAATCTGTGAGAAAATATAACTGCCCTTTTAGATATCTTGTTCTTTGAATATTGGCCAGATGTGTATTCAACTGTATCTCTCCCAAACTTGGAGAATATATAAGTATATAATCTATTTTTAAAGCTGCAGGCGTATTTGTTTGCCTTTAAGATCAAACCTGATAATTCTTGGAAAGACTTTGGGGGGAATTTGATCTGCCCTGTGATTAGATTTGACCCAAAAGATTCTAATTCTGTATAAGCAGAAGAGAAAGAATGATGCAGGTCTCTGGCTTACGCAGTGCCTTGTGACTGATGCTTTTTATGTGATGATGGTAGGAGTAAATCTAAAATCTGGAGAAATATTTTATGTTCCTCTAGCTATTATAGAGTACTACAGTCTAAAGATACAGATCTACAGCATTTCAGTTTTCTTGTAGATTTCTGAAAATTTGAGAAGAGCAAGAAATAATATCTTTGACATCAGATGTCAAGATTTTTTCCCTGCTTGGACTAATAGTCTTTATTCCTTAACTCTTTGCTTTCAACAAGGCTGTGATTTCTTCAGCCTGCATTGTTTTTCAAAGACTCTGTGTGTCTGTGTTTTAGGAAGATGGGAAGTAGAAGAGCTGAAAGAAAACACAGTGCCTGGAGACAGAGGATTAGTGTTAAAATCAGTGGCAAAGCATCATGCAATATCAGCAATGCTAACAAAACCATTTATTTTTGATGATAAACCTTTGATTGTTCAGTAAGTAATGCCTCTGATTTTTTACTTTTATTATTAAAATCCTTAAGTTAAGAAAATAATGTGAACCTCTATAAAACAATACTGATTTCCATATAGCATTGACCTGTCGTATCCAGAGCTATTAGAATTGCAAATGTGATTGATTGATTGATTAATTAAGATTGTAGTATACATGTTAAAAAGTGATATTTAGACTATTTTGAAATAATTTTGGACAGAAATCTAATATTTGATTACATAGAAGTGTTTTGACAGTAGTGACTAATACGGAGTCTTATGTATTCATAATTAGAATGGCAGATTAGCAGTTAATTTGTATTTTTCTCACACTTGGAATTTTTTTTTTTAACTTTCTCTTTGCCCAGGTATGAAGTGAATTTTCAAAAAGGCATTGACTGTGGTGGTGCATATATTAAACTTCTCTCCAGTAGTGATGACTTGAATCTGGTATGTCCTCTTGCTTAACATTTGCTATCAGTTGTTCATTTGAGGAACAGCTTGGTTCTCCCTGAGTGATGTCTTATATCCGGGACAAAGGACTTCTGTATCTGTGTAGTCTGACTTTGTGTATTAGTAGAAGCCATAGGATCTTAACTCATAACTTCTGAAACAGTTATTTTACTGCAGAGCACAAGCAGGTTATTCCAAATATGGAAAACATATAAGTAGTTAAAAGGTACTGACATAACTAAACAGATTAATGCAACATACTCTGAAGGTGAATAACTATATCTGATATTTTCAGGGCTGTTTGTTGCTGTTACTTAATGTGGAAAGGAAAAAAAGCACTGATAAAATACTGGATATTAAAATCCTGGCTTTTATCTTTATTAGAAAATAAAGTTGTTACGAAGAACAGTAACTAGTTCCACTTCCATTTTTAGTATAATGTTTGTAGAGGGACACAGATAAGATACTTGGGTGTTTTGATTTGTGACAGGCATCTAAATAAATACATTCATCTTTGAAGAGACTAAAAGAGTTAGTCCATTCCCTGAGAACAGAGAGCACCCAGCAAGTCAAGAGGAACTAATCAGTTCCTTTCTTGATTTTCCCTACCACTTTTCATTTATCTTTTAGAAAAAGGTAACTATGCTGTATGCCAAGGAAAAGAACTTCTGAAAATTGCTTCATGAAATGTCCAGTATAACACATGCTCGGCTTTCTTGCTTCTACAGGAATACTTTTTTGACAGAACACCTTACACTATTATGTTTGGACCAGATAAATGTGGAGAAGATTACAAACTACACTTTATCTTCAGACATAAGAATCCTAAAACTGGAGAATATGATGAAAAGCATGCTGAACGTCCTGATGTAGACCTAAAAAAGTTCTATTTGGACAAGAAGACACATCTATATACTCTTGGTATTGTTTAATTCTTACAAGTTCAAATTTGGAAAGGAGAAATTAAAAATTTTTTTCTGTCTGCTGAAGCTTTGTAATTGAGTCTGCTTTTTTGTTTGTAATAGTCTGTTAATTGTGAAGGGTGATTGCTAAATGATTTGGCCTTAAATGACTTAATAACTGGGCTTAAATGATTTAATGACTGAGCTTAACTGCGGGACATAAAAGTGGCTTTCAGATGCTGCTGTTTAATATTCACATATAAGAAAAAGCATATCAGCTCTGGCCAGCCTTTAGCATAAAGAATTGATTAATGCCTTCAGTATTTGTTATGGTAAAAATATTTTTACTGGGGAAGATATTAAGACATACAACTGTCCAATATTCTAGGAAGGTGTCAGAGTTCACAGGAATTCAGTTAAACCTGCAGCATGTCACTCACCACCCTCCTCCACATGTTAAGAGCTCTCACAGACACCTGCAGTGTGCATGAAAAGATAGGTCAGCACATCCTCTGAAGGTGAATGCATGTGGGCTGGGTTTAATTCATGTGACAACTCTTCCTGTACCAATGAACAGTATAGCAGAGATAAAAGTTCAGTTCATTTTCCCCCCTTTGTTTATTCTTCCTCAGAATTAGAAAGTCAGAGAAGAATGGGCTAATCTGTGGCACACTGCAAATCCAGACAAATTAACTGTACTTACAAGCTTCCATGGACTAATAATAACAGTAGGCATGTTCGTATGCTGTGCCATGGGTTTTTAAGATAGATTGCTGTAGTGTGCCATAGCAAACTTTCACTTTTAGATAATAGGAATCTCATAGTAAAGGAATGCATGCATTCATGTATTTGGGCTGTTTGTTAGAAATTCAAGATACTTAAACTTGGATTGCATTTATTCTCTCATAATTGTTCAGACAGATTCCACAGAGCTGTGTAATTCTAATGTGACTGACAACAGAAGTCTAAAAATTAGTTCTTTGTATTTTATCTAAAGTTGATACAGGGTTTTCATGGGATATTTTAATACTGTTGAAAACTTTGGGCTGCAAGATCTTCATTAGATATAAGACTGTTACTCTGGTTTTCATCACCCAACTTTAGAAAACTGTCATAAAAGTGGAATAGCATTTACTTTTACTTAATAATCTTTGTTGTGTTGAATGGAGAGTTGAATATACTAGTTGACCAGTGAGCCCATTTGTAAGTGCTTATTAGAAGTGGATCTGGATGCATCTGTTACCGTCTGACACTGCTCAGTTCTGTGACCTTGGCTTCTCAATGACTCACACTTGCTAACATACTTAAACATTTGAAGAGAATTTTCTGTATTTGCAGTCTGGCATTTGAGAGAAATGGCTGTTAGAGGTTTGAATCCGAGAGAAAGTACTTCTTTGATCCTTCAGCTGTGTTACTGGCACAATTCTTGTGTTTCCATGCTTTAAAGTGTGAGATTGTAATTTAGTAGCAGAGATGCATTTGGGGGCAGAGATTTGACTTTCATTGTCTGTGCTTTTTAAATAAAAACAGCAGAATTTTGGCCAAGTGGTAGGTTTTTGAAAAATCTCTTAGAATGTGTCTGGATGTGTTTCAGCAATTGAATTTTCTAGAAGTTTCATTCTGGGGGCCTGATGGTGGTTATACATCCCCTCAAGGGCAACTTTTTGTGTCCAGATTAAGTGAGGAGCCTGTCTCCTGCTCTGCTTGGGAGGATCCTGTTTGCTCTTATTTGACTAAGGCTGTGCTTATTATATAGCTTTGGTTAAAGATATTTATAAAATTAATGGCTTCCTTATTTCTTTAAAACAAATTTCTTCGATTTAGTGCTAAAACCAGATGATACATTTGAAATGTTAATCGACCAAACAGTTGTCAGTAAAGGAAGTCTTCTTGAGAATATGGTTCCTCCAGTAAACCCTTCCAAAGAAATAGAGGATCCTAGTGATAAGAAGCCTGATGATTGGGATGAGAGACCAAAAATACCTGATCCAAATGCTGTCAAACCAGATGACTGGTAAGGAGACTATTTTTTATCTCTACAATGCCTTTTACATACAGGTTATATATTTGAAATTAAGGTATTGGTAAACAGATAATTGTCTAATTCTCATGGTCAGTGAGTCTAATTCTGTTGTGCCTTTGAAAATCATCCCTTTCATGCCAGTTACAGTCCTCTGAACAGAACATGGCTCGAAGTCAGGCTGCTGTATTTTCTAACCTGAGTCTGTAATTGAAGGGATGAAGACGAACCTTCCAAAATAGAAGATCCTGATGCTGTTAAGCCTGAGGGATGGCTTGATGATGAACCAGAATATGTTCCAGACCCTAATGCAAAAAAACCAAAGGACTGGTAAGTTGGAATGTGTAAGGAATGGCCAAATATTTGTTGGTTTGTGGGACCGCTTCTATAAAAACATGAACATGTCCATTGCTTTTTGTTTTCTGAAGATATATTAGCAAAAACAGAATATGAAGGACCCCTTTGAAAGAATTTACTACAGTTTAAGTTGATGTCTTGAAGTCATAATATAATAGGCTCCAAGGGATCTCTAAGCATCCTAGGGAGAAGTGTTTCAAGCATTTCTGCAGATGCAGGAATGTAATTGAGGTCAGTCATGCTGTGGTAGTTATGAACATGTGACCTTTAAAAAAAAAGTGGAGCACTCCTTAAAAAAAAGTGTTTATACTGTTGGGTAAAGCTCTGTGAGCTGGTCAGAGTTCTGAGGTTGTTACAGCAAAATGTGTATGGACCCAAACTTCAGACTGCCAGTGCTTTGGGCCCGTCTGATCTTAAAGCAGTTGTTTGTAATTTTATTTTTTTTTCTCTCTAGGGATGAAGAAATGGATGGGGAGTGGGAAGCCCCCCAGATCCCTAATCCGAAGTGTGAGACTGCACCTGGTTGTGGACAGTGGGTGCGTCCCATGAAGAACAACCCAAGGTATAAAGGAAAATGGAGAGCACCTATGATAGATAATCCTAACTATCAGGTAATAGTGAAATTGTAGGTCATTGTTAAAAGGTACAGAGTTGAACAAGAGCAAAGTCAAAGTAGTATATTTATCTAGGCTTTTTTTACAGTATATTGATATTTTAGAATGAGTCTGAATAGCCTCACTAAACACTTTGAGATTTTTTTTGCATGTAATTTGCTTTTTTTTTTCCTTTAAGTAATGCTTCCTATATTAAAACAATTTATCTGTTCAAAGTTGCTTTTTGTACGATTTGCACTGGTACCATTTATTTAATATGCTCTGTAGAATTGTATTCTAAGTTACATTGGAGCTTTAAATATGAGTCTTTTGAATAAACAATCTTTTTTATATTCAAAAATTAAGCCTTTCAGCAAGCAGGTTGAACTTACTAGTTCCATTTTAGAGGATGCATCAATTTTGGATAATTAAATTCCCTTCTTCCCCTCCAGACATAAGAGGTAATCAGTTGCATATTAAAGAGAGTTACTTTGTATTAGTTATGGCTGGGGAATACTTGAGTCTGATTTCTTTGAGCAAAACAAAATTTGCCTCTAATTTGCACAGGTATCATAAGGCTGAAGTTCCCTTTCCTAAAATTTTCCCTACCACTTCTGGTAACAGTGTAGGTTAAACTTTACTGCTTGTCTTTTTAAATAATGCATTTAACATAGTTGTGAAGTTCTAATTATTTTAAAATTTCTTTCACAGCTTGTTTTTTTTGGTGAGCTATAGGTAATGTGATTAAATTTTTTTTCCATTAACAGGGAATCTGGAGCCCTCGGAAAATACCAAACCCAGACTATTTTGAAGATCTTCACCCATTCAAGATGACCACTGTCAGTGCTATTGGTTTAGAACTGTGGTCTATGACATCTGATATTTACTTTGATAACTTCATCATCTGTTCAGAAAAAGAAGTAGCAGATCATTGGGCAGCAGATGGCTGGGGCTTGAAGAAATTAGTAGCAAGTGCTAATGAGGTATAAACTTTACTATGTTCTTGATATCAGAAAGTAGTGAGGAAGCTGTACTGTTGGAAGAATTTTCTGTCAGCTAATGCTGACAGAATATTAATTTGTCTGCAACTGATAATCTTGCTGAGTAACTCTGATAGTTTGGCTTTTTACTTTTTCCAGATCAATATCTTCTTGAAATTAAAAGGGTACTACATTTTACTTAAACATTTGGTGAGAAATTGGCTTCATATTAAGTCTTCTGCTGTTCACAGTGATACTAGAAATTCAGTTCCTGACAGCCAATGAAAACTGAGTTACTTGCACTCAAAGACCTTTTTTCCTTTTTCCTTTCCCCTCCCACTCCCATTTTTCCTTGTGGCTATATCCATGATACATATTCTTTAGATGCTTCCCTGCTGTGAGGAATGGATAAATAGTCCAGTGTTTGTTTCTGTTTAATAATTTTAGGGCTTTGGCTGCTTACACGTGTATTATGCAGCTCTGAAAATGTTGCGTATATGTTTATGGAGCTGCATCTGTTGTTCTGTTTGTATGTGTGCATCCCCATTTTGTTCTGCACTTAACCAGCCACCACAGTTTTTCCTAGATCTCTTCCCTATGCTGTGGGAAGGACCTGCCCTGCCACACAGGGATCGTGAGCCCCTCTAGTGGCTGCCTGCCCTCCTGTTTCTGTCCAACAGTCCTCTGTTTTCTTTGACTCAGTGGCAAGAGCAGGCTGCAATTTTGGGAGAGAAATGATGGGTTGGTGGCAAATGTGGCCAATTCCTGACAGGTGCTGTTTGTCACAGCATGAGCAGGTAGCAACAGCGTATCTGCCCATGCCATCAGGAAAGCCATCTCTTCCCCCAACCTTGTCTTTTTCCAAAATATTTGGGTTTATGTGTGAACCTTTATCTATACTTGTACACACAATGGCAAAAAATTCCTTTGAGTCCCTTCGCTCCACTGTGTCTCTCAAACTTCCTTAGTTACTCATGTACCTTTTCCATAAGTCATTAAAAAGCAAAGGTAAAGAAGGGTTTCCTTTGGACAATATAAATGTATAGAGTATACTTCATAAACTTATTATTTATTTTCTTTAATACAGCCTGGTATGTTTAGTCAACTGGTGACTGCTGCAGAAGACCACCCATGGCTCTGGGTTCTTTACATCTTGACTTTAGCTCTCCCTGTTGGTCTAGGTGTATTGTTCTGCTGGCCAGCAAAGGTTAGAGAAATTTATTATATTTGTTTTTGAGTTTATTCTTAATACTTTATTTGAAAACTCTTAGCATCTGTACAACAATATGCACTTTTAATGTGCCATTGGTATTACTCAGCTTACAGTGGCTGTTGTGTTTAGTTCTTAATTTGAGTTGAAATGTAAATTGATTTTTAATTTGTTGTAGAAAACAGATGAATATGACTTCAAAAAAACTGATGTATCTAAGCAAATTAGAAAAGGGGAATTAAAACAAGAGAGAGAGGAGTTTGAAGATGATGAAATAGATGAAGAAAAAGAAAATGAAGATACAGCTGAAGATGGTAAGATGAGCATGTCAGCTTGCAGTTTGGTTAAAGACATGAATAGAACTAGTTCATGGATTGCATTGCCAATAATTACAGCCAGTTATCTTAGAATATGTGAAATCTGCCTTGCTCTGAGTCTTTTTTTCCTCTTTGATAACCTCCAGTGAGTGGCATCCCATGGCTTATAACTCTTTGATAAATACAAGCAGAAAGTAAGGCTCTACTCAGTATTTTTTCACTTGCAAGAAATGAATGTGCTTCCAGCAGTCTTTTTTATCTTTGTAGACAGCGATGCATATTTTATTCCTTCTAAATATTTCATGTATTGAACACATTTTAATGGTTCAGATATAAGTACCCAAAGTGGTTAAAGTTACATCATTGTCTTTAAAATGTGCCTGGAATAGCTTTATGTCTTTAACATAAGTCTTTCTGCTTACTTCTCTGGGGGAGGGTTGTACCTTCAACTCTTCTGTTGATCACTATTTTTAGTTGCTCTTGTTAAAGCCTGAAAATACTTGAAATACTGAAGTTTGTTGCTTCCTTTGTGTTGCTTTTTAGCAACACATTGCAAAGGTCTCTCCTGCTGCCCAAGTGAGAAATCAATGATTCAGTAGGTTGAGCTGTACTTTGGCATCCAAGGGTAAATCATCTTGTGTTACTGTATCAAAGATTACTGGTACTGTTCAGCCATGGCTCTGATGTGCTGTTAGCATTTCCCTGAGTCTATATAATGAACAAAAACCAAATCACCTAACTTACAGTGTGTTATCTTGACTTTCATGAGAAAATTTTTAGCTTCAGAACTCTAGAAGGTTCTGCCTCTTACTTCATTCTCCCTTGATAAGAACAAGCAAAGTGACAAGTGACTGGCATGGATAATTAGAAACCGAGCAGACATTTTTGCTTGGCATTTTTTTTCCTTGGTACTGACATCACTTTGTATTACTGACTGAAACTTGGTGGGGTCTGTGTGTCTTTACACCACATTCTATGAGTGTTGATGGCTTCTGTCTGTATGACTTAGAAGTTCACTTAGCATCAGCCATTCCCATGCCAGTACTGACAGAATTAAGTACATTGTTGTCCCAATGCTTGCCACCCCAAACTTAGTCCCGACTATCTGCCTCACTATTTGAGAGCCTAACCTAGGCATTTAGTTATTTTGTTATGCTATTCTTTACATTAGCATAAATTTTAGTATATAATTTTATCATTGTATCTTCCTGCACTTTCCTTTTGATCTTGCTCTACTCTACCTGGTCGTGGCTCCTGAATTACAGACTCTGTTTTATTCTACCCAGTCTTGTTGCAGATCATAGATGTGGTTTGTACCTAATACACTGCTGTTGCAAGGCTGAGATACCTCAAGTCCAATATTCTTCTTTAAGACAGTTAATTTAATTTATTTAATTAATTACAACACATCAGTTAATAAATAGCATGTTAGAGTGTGTGTTTCAGTGTTAGAAATAAGGTTCAGGCAATTGCAGAGGAATGCTGTTTAGCTCCCACAACTTTTTAAAATTCTACTTGGAACAGCTGTTCTTGGTGTTGCAAAGGTAGGTTCTGTTTTAGACCTTTACTTTTAGTTACTAAACTGAACACAGAGTAAAACTAACCTAGCTAGCTTTTGTATGACTATCCCAAGGTTTTCAAGTAAATTCTATGCTTCAGAGGGAAGGATTGCACTTTGCTGTCATATGACTTCAAGGTTTCTTTCTCTAAGAAGAATTGCTTAGCTTCCCTTAGCTTCCTGCTGCCTTTAACATTTGCAGGTTGAAAGCTTCCCTTTTTTTCTATCACTATCTTTCCATCTTTTGCCTCTTCTTATCTGCAAGCAGTAGAGAATTTGTCTTCTACCTCCTTTTCCTGATTCTTTTTGCTACAGAGAGAAGAGAAATGGAGGAGACAAAAAGAGAATTTTTGAAGGATACAAAGAAGATGGGAAGGGAGGCTTCTCTTTCAGGTACTGGGAAAGGGAAGTAATTTGGGCCAGGACTTGCAAATGATCTTTCCTATCTGGTTTCTTCCCTCTGCTTCCTTGTTGATGGTAGAACTTCAAGCTGGTGGATTCCAGCTTTCATCCCGTGCAGATGGGAGTTTCCTCTAAGATTTCTCCCTGTGGTATCTGTAGTCATAAATATTTTCTACTAGTCACTTTGGCTCCTTATAATTTTTACAGTTCCTTTATTGTCATTATCTCCTCCTTTGTTTTTTGGAGTTGAAGGTAATGGGGTTTGAGCTGTTGAATACTGAGCGACTTGAGATCTACATTTTATCATGGGGCCATTAAAATAAAGAAAGAAAAGGGAAGTGTGGCACAATACTGAAGTTCAGAAACACTTGGAGATTTCTTTCACTCATTCTCCAGTGAGAATGAGTTGCTGGCAGATTACTTCTTGAAGGGGATTGTCCATGGGATTTACTGTTTTATTTTGTTCTGTGTTAATTTTTGTGACATTGCTAAAGAATGGTGTGTTCTTGACTTGTCTTCTTGTCTGCTTTGTCTCGAATTCCTTGCCTTCTAGAAAAATATTCCAGGAAGTAAAAGAATGTTGCCACAAAATGGAATTTCAGGACCACAGCCTGAACCTTATTTGTCAAGTTATACATTCATTTATATGAAATACTGTTTAAATTACTATTGGATTAAATTAAAATTAATAATTTTACATAGTGTAGTTGTCCAGTTCTGGCTTTTACAACTTCTGATGTCTGAAGTTTTTTTTGTTGTTCTGGGTTTATTTCCCCTTCATTGAAATTAGTACTTATGGGAAGAGCTGGATTTGCATCATTTACCATTTCTAATCTCTTCATTAGAATATGAGCAAAGGCTTTGCCAAGCTCCTCTGTTAAGAGCATATTTTTAGAATAGAAATCTTTGTCTACATCTTTCTTAAACCATGATCTGCATTTTTTGGTCATATTTCCCCTTTTCATAACAAATGTAGAGAGATACTATTGTAGACATGTATCAGGTATATTGACAGATGGGAAAATGGATTTCTTAGTTTATAACAGTTAGGGAAGCTCTATTTATAGCTGTACTGCAAGTGAAGTTTTTTGGTACTTCTACAGAAGTCTCAAATATTTTAATTGGAATTTCTAGATTTTCATCACCAAGAATTAGGAGAGTCACATCTTATATGTGACTACCTCCTGAATTTATATGCATACTTTTGTTTCAGTTTTTACTGAGATGCAGCAGTAAGAATTGGGAGGTTGGGGTGGGTGGGTATTCTTTTGTTTTTTTCTTTCTTTTTTTTTTTTTCCCCACACTGAAGTAGTGCTTATGAGATGTAGGCATGACCTGAAAAGGCTAGAATTGAGCACTGCTTCGTTACTGGTTTTAGCTGAGTCACTGGCAGCCTGTCAAGTTGTAGACTCCAATGTGTATCCTTTCTATCAGATTTTAGGTGTCTTGTTTACTCATGATAGAAAGTATTTCAAAGGGTACTAAGTGCACTAATAGTGCAAGCTGGACATACCTTGAGTGATCTAAGGGGAGTACAGTCCTCTTCTGACTAGTTTCTGCATTGCAATAATACATAAGAGGGGGGGAAGTACTGCGCTGCTTATCCCTCAACCAAAACAGAAGCATTGCCAGAAGAATTCCCTGCTGAAAACAGGAGTTGCCTTAAGATGTCGGTGTCTCCCTTGCTGGATGACTGATAACTGCAATATTGTACTTTCCTATCTAAGTCAGAATTTAGTCAAATTTGGGATGCCTGAGTTGTCCTATTTTGGACTCTGGTCTCCAAACTGTCCAATACAATAAGTATTGGATTTTAAGTGAAGTAAATCAAGTCCTTTTAGTCAGTAACAAGTCTGAAGAGAGTAGGAGCTATTGTGAAAAGAGGTGAAGGTGGAGGTGTTAAAATTGATTATTAAATTTGAAAATGATCACTTTCTACTAATTCATGAGAATTCTACTCACTGTGTCACACAGAAGGTTTTCTGGGTTATTCTAAACAAGCAGTTCATTCTAAGACTGAAATTGGCTTATTTTCCTTACTAGTGTGTCTGGATATAGTGCATTTTTAATACAGTTCTGATTACTAAGTAAAATTAACTTCTTTTGCAGAAGATGAGGGTGAAGGTGGTGAAGATCTTGATGATGATGAAGAAGAAAATGAAGTTGCAAATGAGGAAGAAAACGAAGTTGCAGATGCAAGTCAAGAAGAAGGTGGTATGTCAAATAAATCTGATTCAGAAGATGAGGTAAGTTGGTGGGTTTTTCCCTATTTTCTCCTTGCCCTTATCTGACATCATACTTCTAACTAAGCCCAGTTACCTGCAGCAAATGTTTTTCTTCTCTTGAGCCATAAAACAAATCCTAAGGTGGAAATGTGTTTTCATTTGAGTTTGACACCTCAAATGCTCTGTATAAATACAGGTATAGTACAGAAGTGATCATGCAGATCTCAAAACATGAAATGTTTTTACAGGAGTGTAGTTTTTAACAGGTTATTAAATGAATTGCTAGTCTTGAAAATTTAGATGTCAGTCTTTATTGTGCTACTTAATTGATGGAACATGTGCTTCTAACAGAATAGCCTTTTCGTGAGACCTAGAAAAACCTCAAGCTTTCAGCTGTCTTTTGGTTTTTTGGATTCCAAAATAAAGCAAAATGACCACACTCTTTTTCAATTCAGCACCTGCAGTTTCATTTTTCTTGTGCAGATTAATCTAGTCACCCAGATAATCTACAAAATGTTTTTCATAAAATAACACTGTAGAATGGAATTTGTTTGTGCTTTACTTGCTCATCAGTCAACTACTCATTATCCTTTATTTAGAAACTGGTGTGTCTGAAATGCCTTAGATCCACCCATTGGTCACGTTGTGCTTGTCATTCCCTAAATGAGTCCCTTCCCAGATTAGGGGAGTTGTTTAATGTAATGTAATGTTAACTCCTTTTCATGGAAAACTCCTCTAGGAAACTGGACCTTGCATGAGGTTGCATTGTTTCAGGACTAAAATTTTTCATCAATTACCCCTTATTCAGTACTTCTTCTTCCTGTAGGAAGTTTGTTTTTTTTTTCCTTGTACATTTACCTAGAAATACAGTATCTGATGAACCCTATTAGGAGTCACAGGACTCCTTGTGTAAGTAGCAACCAGATCTGAATGTGTCTGTGCCATTACACAGTAGCACAGTGAGGCCACAGCTTGCTTCTGTCATGAGTTAGCTGGTGACCTAGTTGGGAGGCATCATGTACACCACGTCCTCACTCAGGTTGGCCCACGTTCTGTGAGCTGTTCCTTCTGAATGAGGTGCTTGCCATTAGGTGATGCAGGGAAGTGAGGAAGCAATGCATTGTCTGAGAATGGAGTTCGCTCTGGAAAGGCTTTTTATGTTCCTCTGTAAGCTTATTGCTTTTGAACTGGGATCACCACAACTGATTTAAGAACAGCTTGCTTTATTTGCAGCTCTCCAAAGGGGACGGTTAGAATGTTTTAAATGCTTCCTGCTTCAGAAGTGGAAATTAAAATTAGCATAACATGCACTTTGAGGAAGTTGCTAAATTAATTTAAAAGTCATGACTTTTAAACCAGTGAATACATGGGCAACACCAAATTTCTGACATCTGTTTAGATGTACTATTCTCTTCCTTCTGAATATAGGAAGGAAAAGTCTTCTACCCACTTTGTTTATCATTAGGTTGGTATTGTTGAAAAATATGTCCTGCCACTTCAGTGTTGCATTTAGTGATAACATGACTGGGAGGTTTAGGTGCAGTAATAAAGTAGCATGCCAGCTTCAATAATTAAAGTAAGTTTAAAATTCTAATGCTGAATTTCATTTTTCTTTTTCAGAAGAAAGAAGCCGACGAGGGTACAGGAGATCACCCGCTGAGATCAGTGCGCAAAAGAAGAGTACGAAAGGACTGAGTTATTTCCAGCTGGTATTTGCAGGTCTAGATAACAGTAGCTTCTGGTGTGCCACTCCAGTGGGCCTGACAGCATGCAAGTTGCTGAGCTTTAAAGGAAAAAGGGGAACTCACTGCTACTTAACCTCCTGTTTTAATCCTCTGACCTCTTTAACCATCCCGAACTTCCTCGATTCCCTTTTTTTTAAGGAGAAATACTATCTCTGAGGAGTTAGCCGGTGTTTCCAACTTTCAGTTTCCAACTGAAAATAAAAGTGAAATTACAAGTTGGCCAACTGATTTTTAGGTGAAGATTTGAAGTTTCTAAGAAAATTAGTATTAGTTGGAGATAAACTTGCTCTAAATATTTTTTTTAAATGAATAAATTATAATACTTTTGCAGCTCTAGCACAAAATTAGCTGTTTACAGATTTCAGCTAAGAGGATGACAGTGTAGATGTAGCATCTATAGCAGTTCTCATTGCTATGAGAAAAGGTATTTTTTTCTGTGCGGAGCTAAATGCAATAATTGTTTTTGTATGATGATTTTGTGCTAGCAACAATTTTTATTGTAAATTATTTATTTTAGTTGATCTTGTTAAATGGGTGGTCACCTGTTCACTTTAGGCATTGGTTACAGTAACTTATTTTTAAGAGATATTTTAAAATAGAATACTCATAGAACAAGTGGTAATTGATGTGACTTGTTTTACTTTTGAATGCAGATAGCAGATCTGCAGAAGTGATATACAGATGAATTTTTCAAACTTTTATAGTTCTCATGTTCCAAGCCAGAGTGGTATAACCTCTGTTTATAGAATATTTGCTAAGTGTATATTGCCACCTAAAAATATTTAATAATTCTTCCTTAATATGAAATTTATTAATATAGATAAGAATTTTTGATGGTTAAGTTTTTTAAAGATGTGAGTAACTTGGGCATTCTCATAATGTAGTTGAAATAAACTGCATATTGTAAAAGAAACTTTGTTTTGTTAAAGTTCAGCTGTATATGAAAAAAGAACAATAAAAATTCAGTCGCCAGAAACCTCTTGCTGCTTGACAGCTGCCTGTAGAAGTAGTGGACTATAAGGTGCTACCAAAAGCAGTTATACATTGTAAACAAGCAGAAATACATTAATTCATAAGGATTCTAACCGATTTTCTTGTGCCTGACAAGAATTTAGTTCACATAAAAAAAGGAGTATTTTCACAGCAGTTTCCATGGAAGTCTCTAAGAAATGAATGCTTACTTAACCCTAATGAAAAAGGCAGCGTCCTCAAGTGCTTGTTCTGAAGTGCTAAGAAGTTAATTATATTGGACTCTTATTTAGTTTGAACTACATGGAAAGGTCTCAGTTTTTTGTTTGGTTTGAGGCTTTTTGTGTCATTAAGTGCAAGCTCCCACCTCTTTATTTAGGGTCTACATGCAGAAGGTAAGAAGTGAAGACTACAGATTACTCCACAGCAATAGATAGTTGTTATCAGTGTAGTATCCTGCTAGTAACAGCTACTGTGAGCTGTCAGGGAGCATTTCAGCTCTCCAATGGATGATGTCTGAGTCTGATAAGAGTCCTTTGGAATTGTTACAGCATTTGGGTGTGGTTCTGGGGTTGGGTTTGGCTTTTTTGTTTTGGGGTTTTGGAGGGTTATTTTCTTTGATGTGATTTAGTTACTCCAGGGATTGGTCACCCCACAGGGGATGCTAGTCCTCCCTTGGGGTTTTGAACTTAAGGTTCCCATAAAGTCTTGATTAATGCCCCATCAACATCTTTGCTTGTACCTCGCTTTAGTAAAAAAAGGAGCCATTTATTATGGGTAAAAGGGTTACCCACTGCTCAGTGGATACCCATAGCTCAAGGGTGCTGTTTGCACTAATACTGACTCTGTAAGGCCTCTCTCACTTTAATACTGACTTAATTACTTTGATCACCTAGAACCTGGAGATGGAAGACATCCTTCTGCATATCAGCTTACTTGGATCTAGTCTTATGCTGCTAATTAGGGGAGAAATATCAGAGCTTTGGTGATTTGAGGCTCTAAATGTACAAAACCAGGCAGAACGGGAACCTCCCCTGTCCATTGGTACTTGTAACGTTGAGATTTCACCCACAGTTCCTGTGCATCATCCATTTATTTCTGAACAGGTATTTCAGGAAAAATCTTGCTATCATGGCTGCTTGAAAGAGCTTTAAATTAACAAGGTGATGATTTTCAATTCCAGGGTGCCTTACTATTTAAAGTATCAGTCATCTTTGGAACTCCATGAGTATCAGATCTCCACAGCCTTCACTCCCACCGGCTACACTGTAGCTTCATTAAAGATCTTACTGAGGATGCCAGATAACCAGACTGAACATTGTCTATATGCAGGGAAGGCCAAGTAGGACTGAGGCCCTTTTATTTCCTTACAGATGAAGCTACTCCTCAGTTGGCATACACAGTCATGAAGGTATGATGAAGTAATAATTCTGGTTCCTGTCTAATGTAGAGCTCACTAACTTGTGTAGGAAAAGGTAACACTTCCTGTATTCTAACTTGGCCTCCCACATGGAAAGGTGCAAGTTTTAGCTTTTTGACTACACTGGATGCAGTCTACCAATTCTTTTTTCTTTAGCCAGAAAAGTATACAGACATGTGAGATTCATGGCTGAAAATAGCAAGTGAGTCAGGAACCGAAACCTTACTGAAACTAGAGTCATTGACCCAGGTTTAATCTTAATACTTGGTGATTTCATCTAGTCTTTCACACAGTTCAGCTATGTAGAAACCATTAAGATGATGGCAAACCCTACTGCTTTTCCACCTTTCGACTACAGATGGCTGTGAGAAGTTTTAGGGTTTACAAATGTTAAAGCAAACTAATCAAGACAAATCAAAAGTTTTTATTTAGTGTAAAGTCAGAAATACAACATCTTTAAAATGCTTATAAGTTAACTGAAGGCCACAGTAGTGGGATGTAAAATCGCATAGAGATGAAATAACTACTATATACACACTGATGGATAAAGTATCACTATCCAATCTACAATACAAACCCAGGATTTTAAGGTTACTTTATCTTGGGAAGTTGCTGAAGTCTAACAAGCGCATGCTCTGTTACCAGCTGAGCTCCTACAGTGCAGATGGAGATGGGCAGTGACATGGCTTTAAAGCTACAATGGCTGTGATGCGATGCAACCTTTAGAAGTCAAGTGCTTGGTGTGACTGTTCTTTGTTTAATGCTCAAACTCTGGACTAGCCATGTGATCTACTCTACCTGCTAGCATTAATTTAGAGTTCCAGTAGTGTGAGAGAGTAGTCCATAGAAGATTAAAAATCATTTTAGACGTTTACAAGAACCCCATGACACAAAGAGTATCACCCATTTGTGTCTTGGTGGGTAAAACATTTTTCATCATTTGGTTTCTTGACCCAGACTTGTAAACAGCCCTCAAGAGCAAACTATTAGTGCTTTTTTGGCAGTCTTTTGTCTTTGCTGACACTCCAGTGAGCACTGCAGAGCCATTTTAAATGGGGAGAAATGGGAAACCTCACCTTTTGGAGGGGAGAACCTCACAATGTCAACTTACTCTTGAGACACAGCAGTGCTTAGCTGCCAAGAAACTTGGGGTTTGAGAGGAATTTATTCTACTATTCCATTGATTCATTCACAGCTAGGTTGAAAGAGAGCCTTGAATTAGTGGTTTCCTTTTAAAAGGTCAAGTACAATGGCTTAATTACTGAAGAGATACTCAGTTCTAGCTGACATCCATAAATAAATCTGCAGTGCTGCTGTATGGCAAGATGAAACATTCAACTAAGTACTGATAAAACTTACATTATTGTTTGTATTTCAGCTTCTGCTCTCCCTTAATACTGATTATGCTGGACATGCTGCCTCTATGGGAAGTGCTCAGACCCATAATCTGGGCTAAACTCCCTTACAAAACCTGCTAACAGCCAAGCCAGTAAAAACAGCACCTTGGCACCAGGCACTGCTCAGAGCAGCATGGTTTTGAGAGGCAAAAGCCACCTTCATTCCACTGCAGCCTTCTGCCTTACATGTTTTTATGCAGTGCCTCAAGAGGCACTTCACAAGCTCAGGCTGTTGGGCAGGAAAACATCTGCTCTGAGGCCTGAAGCAAATTTGGCACTTCAGGAGGAAAGTAAAAGGTGGGAAGGAAAGAAGACTTCTCAGTTCCTCACTGCAGATTGCTCACAATGAGCACGAGGAACACTGCTGACCTTCTGTTTCTGAAAAGCTAATCACTCAGGTTTTCACAAAACTCTTCATCACACAACTGAAAAACCTCAGGAGGATCATACGTTACGATGCTGTGCCTGATTGTTCTTCGAGGAAAGGGGAAAGCGAAAATGGTTTCAAGTGTACATATTACAACACTCCCATACTGCATCAGTTTGGTATTTCCCTGATTAAGTTGCCCTGTTCCTCTTTCCCTTATCCTCCCCCTTCCCAAAAAATTTTAAGTGTTTTTCTGTATGCAAGCCCTACAAACAATATCATACTGTTATTACTTCACAGAAATGCTTAACTGGTTTATAGGTTCTTGTTTTAAGTTGCTTTGCAGAGCTACGAACAGTACTACACAATAATTAAATATATTTCATGTGAAAAAAGTGATGCAATTAGACTCTGAATATTTTTATCAAACAGGGCTTCAACACAATATTGTAACTTATTTTGCTAGTCAAGAACTCTACCCTAAGACCTCAAAGAGTGCCAACAGACCTTTGTTTAACCTCACAAACTGAATCCGATTTTTAACAAGATATGCTCATTTTTAAAAACAAATATCAAAATTTAGTAATTATCTACACTACATTTGCACATTGCTTAATCTTAATACGCAAACTTACGTCTCCTGTCCATGATAATGCTCTTAATTCTGTTTATCACCGAAGTTTATAATCTTTAAGTATCCAGTAAGCCACAAACTAAGGTATTTTAGCTCATGTAGCCTATGCCAGTTAAAACAAAAAAAGACAGCAGCAATACAACAGCATCATCTATGAGTCAGCCCTTACTTCCTTTTGCTTTTTGTGTCAGTTGTTTGGAAAACACTAGACGCTGACATCAGATTTTCTATATACTGTCCAAGAACTTGGTTTTCTGATTTCAGTTTCAAGTTTTCTTCCTTAACAGCATCTACTCGTGCTGAGAGATCTGCGAAGGTGATATTATAAGAGAAGTATTAGACACTGTTGCATGCAATAATTAACATGTTCTACGGGCCTATATCAGACATCACACCTTTAATGCAGGAAACGTTACCCTAAGGTATTATGTTAACACAGTAATATAAACTAACATTCTGCTACTAAAGTTTTATCAAAAGCCCACTCTTCCTGTATTATTTTGTAGTACAGTATTTGGATAAACTTCTTAAACGTACTCCTAGTCTGTAACTTTATTATTTTCTTGAATTTTTGAATTAAGCTACTGCAAACTCAGCTACTTGGAAACAGACTCAAAGATGTGTGTCAGCTAATAAGCAACAAATTAACTGTATCACCCCTCCTGCTTGATGTGTATTATGAGAGTCGAGCAAACACAATTCTGCATAAAGAGGAAAGAAAAAACCTAGTTCCAAGATCTTGCCTATGTACCTTCAACTGCTTTAAGTGACATACTTCTGGACACTGTGCCTAAGGTAGGGCAGAGCAGTGAGGTTCTCTTCTTTTGCTTATTACTGTGTGCTTGTAAAAAATCTGATGTGTCAAGCTGCTAACCTTCAAGTGTGTGCTGCAGTTCCAAAACTTGATTAATAAGCCGTGTTTTCTCTTCTAATTCCACCTGATTCTCAGCCTCAACAGCTGCAATAAATCATGAGAGTTTTAGTGCAACCTCTGCAAACAGTTGGAAATTATATTAAGTAGAAAGAATAACAAGAACATTAAGAACTTATACCATCCATGTCGGCATTCATCATTGTAGAATGGGCTCTTTCCACTTTTGAAGAGCGTTTCCTTGAGAGATGCTCTGCTTAAAGAAAAGAACATGGAGGCAACTGTTAATGGAACTGCCTTTATATTTGGCTTTTAGGTGCGTTTTTCTAATTGGCAGTGAAAGGCCTGCACTTAAGCCTAAGGCAGAGGAACACTCCTTACCATTCTTTAATTATTTTTCCTAGGGCCTTATGTGGTATGTAACTATGGTTCTTCGAGTAACTATGCTTCTGTTTACAAAAATGACCGATCCGGACGCCTCTAACGCATAAGATATCTCCGTCCCGGTGATGTAGTTGCCGCCTTCCCAGCACCGATCATTCTGGAATTGGCTATTCCCAAACGCAGGAGCGGAAGGGCCCCGCTTTGTCCCCCTCCCACCCCCCTTCGCCGGTGCCCGGGCCCGCGGGACAGGCGTGCCCACGGCTCGGGGGCTCCGCGCATCCCCAATTCCCGGCCCCATCCCGGCCGCAGCGCCCGTGCTCGGGGGCCGGGGGGAGGCAGCGCCGCAGAGGGGCTGCCCCGCGGGAGCCACACGGCAGCGCCGCGGCCCTGCCCGCGCCCCCCCTCACCCGGCCTTCCCTCCCTCCACCCACCGACCCACCCGCCCACCGTCCCGGCGCTCCCTCCCGACCTCCCGCCGCTCCGAACCTGCCGCCTCCCCGCGGGCTGCGCCCCGGCCCGGCCCGGCCCCGCTCCGCTCGCACCGCGCCTGCGCCGCGAGGGGGCGGGCACGGGGCGGGATGCGGGCAGGAAGGATGGAGGGAGGGATGGATGGATGCGGGCGGCGTATGGGGGGAGAGGCTGCCTTCCTGCGGCCGGGGCGGCGTGTCACAGTTTGTGCCTGCCTTACGGGTTGCCTGAGCCGCACCCGGCCCTTTCCCGTTAGATCCCGCCGGGTTGCCAATAAGATAATGGAAGCAACTAGCAAGAACGCGATTAAATTAAATTAAAGGAAGAATGTTTTCCACTGCGAGGGTGGTGAGGTACTGGTGCATCCTGAAGTTCTGGATGCCTCATCCCTGGCAGTGTTCAAGGACTAGGTTAGATGGAGCTTTGAGCAATGTGGTCCAGTGGAAGGTGTCCCCGCCCGTGGCAGTGGGGTTGGAACTGGATGATCTCTAAGGCCCCTTCCGACCCAAACCAGTCTGTGATTCTGAATAAATGCTAACATTAATTTGTTCTGTGCTCACACACTGCCGGTGTTCAGAGCAGTGGTCCTCGGCCGCCAGTTGCTCTGCATAGCGTTCACAAGAAATCGAGAAAAGGCAGCTGTTCCCTGGTGGATAACCCCTTCGGATTCAGGTAGGTTGGCAAAGCCTGAGGAAGGTCAGAGAAAACCGACAGTGTGTGTGACTGCTGTGAACTCTCAGGTGCTCACATGTGGAGCTCTGTGAGAGAGGAGCCTCACAGCTGGAGTCCATCAGGGTTTACCTCTGCCAGTTCAGTGCCATGTATAACTGGCTTAGCTGCTTCCAGTCTGGCAGATCAGCAAGCCTTTTCCACAGCAGTATCTGGATTAATTGTAATTTAGCTCCTTGCTTCTGGATCTCACAGCATGAGAGATCACATCACGCAGGAAGCTAAGTAACTTCACGGAGTTACTCTCATCTAATAGCTCGGTAGCTCCAAAACTACACTCCTGTGTCTTCGTTCTTTCCCTAGTTCCCTGGAGGGAATAACATGCTGCACAGGGTCCTCGCTTTGACCTCACAGCACAGTCTGTGAGCCACAGTAAAGGAATGAAAAACATTCAGGACCAGAGCTAATTTTAGTGGCTTCACTGAAGTGACTGCACTGCATAACTTGTAGTACCTTTGTACCATGTAGTTTGAACCATATGTTGCAGTGAAATATATCCATATTGTATCCCTAAATTGCAGGAATATATCTAGTTATAAATAAGTAATTCGATGCTATGCAGATACACGGGAAGATAAAGGCATTTGGGAAGTGAGCCCTCTACTGTATTTTTAAGTACACTTCAGAAAGTGTGTATTTCCAATATCTATATCTTCCGGCTGCCTCCACAGTATTACTATCATTGTGTTAATAACTTTTTTAACCTTACAATCAGATAAATTCAGACTAGACTGAATGCTATTCAGGTTATGAATTACTGTAATTAGAGTCCTGCTGTCTGTCTGTACTGGAAAATTAGTCTGTTTTCAGTTCCATTAGCTAGTGTGCTCAGAAGTATATCACCTTCTCTACAATGGCTGTTTTAAACACAGCAATCCTTATTCCTTGCAAGCAGTCCTCTCAGGTGGTTGCTGGGCTTTAGGAGCTTGTTAGTAACTCTCCTTGATTGCTGTTTTTACAATGACGAGTGCTTCTCACACTGTTTTCATCTTGCTTCCTGCACCGGCTGTGTGGCAAGCCTGGCAATCAACAGGTTCTCACAATTCTTTCTAATGAGACAATCTCCAGCACTTTGATTAACAAGGAAAAAGAATATGGCCAGAGTCTGCAGGTTTATACAGATGGATGGAGAGCTTGCTTATCTGGTGAGGAACTTGCTGTGTTTTATACTGTAAGGCAGGGGGGAATATTGCAGGCTTATCTTGGGGAAATGCACCTCTCTACTACAGAAATTCCAATTTTCTTGCTGTATTATTTTCTTGCTGTATATTGTATTATTGTCTAAACTGTCCCAAAATGAGCAAAGTGGGAAGATCCTTGATGTTAAATTACAGGACAGAATGGAAATTAGACATATTGGCTCCTATCCTATTGTAGCCAAAACAGAAATAATTTCAAGAGCTGTTAGTTTACCCACTGGTTCCTCTTTGGTACCTCTGTCATTGAGGGTTCATTCTACTTTGTGTGGTTGTGGTTTCTGACTGTAGTATTTTCTTTTGATTCTTAACTCTGATTTTTGAGCATGAGCAGCAGGATGGAACTCCTTTTCAGAAGTTAACCTATGTGAGAGGCTTTTTGGTTTTCCTTTAGAGAAAATTGTCTTTTTCTGAGCCTCCACTGTCAGCATTGCAGAGAGCAGATGGTGTTTTTAGTCTACAGAGTGCTATGTGTTACTGGGTTAAACAGTTGCACAGAAGCTTCCTTGGGTTTGTACTGCTGTAAACTCAGACATACTGGATCTCACACAGTGCATCTTCCTGCTCTGAGTGCTTAGTATGAATTCCTTTTCCCTAATAGATAAGATTGTGCAGCTGGCACGTGCTCCTTGGCCCCAACATTTAGAAACTGTTTTCTTTGTGACCTGGCTGTGTCCCAAATCCTTATTGTGGAAAGATTGATGCACGTTGCCCTATTTCTTTCCCTGTCCTTCATCCCCTGTCACCCAGGAAAGTATATTTAAGTGCTGGGGCAGCAGGGAGCAACTCTACTGTGCACAACCCTGATCTGCACAGTCCAGGGGCCAAAACTGTTGGATTGATACTGGTGGGTGCACATTCCACAGAGAGGATGCCTAGATCATCCTGTGTCCCCTTAAAAAGGTTTGCATTCCTAACTCTCCCTTATTTTCTGGTGCAAAGAAATCAATTCCAGGATTCTAAATATCCCATGCATTAGCAGTTTTAAACAAACAAACACCCAAAAAACACACACATAAAAACCCCTCGAAACACAAAGCAAAACGCATCCAAACCTAATACACTACAGAAAAAAAAGCCCACATCCCAAAGTATTCTTTCACGAGAAATCAACCAAAACAAGAGAAGTTTAATGTATCACATGACTTACCTATTGGTTTTTCAAATATCTTACCTCACCTCACCTGTCTTGCTCTCTGGGTAACATAGTATCAGTTACATTTTTTGTGCTCTTTAAATTTCAAGATTTAGGCATTTAGAGGATAACCAAAACAATCAGGTTCCTTTTATAATGCAGAATGTGCCCTAGGGAAGGCACAGCTATGCATATTACGACACCAAGTTGTGTGGGAGTGTTGATCTACTGGAGGGTAGGAAGGCTTTGCAGAGGGCTCTGGACAGGCTGGGTTGAAAGGCTGTGACCAACAGTATGAGGTTCAACAAGGCCGAGTCCTGCACTTCAGCCACAACAACCCCATGCAGTGCTACAGGCTGGGGGAAGAGCGGCTGAAAAGTGGCCCAGTGGAAAAGGACGTGGGGGTGCTGGTCCACAGCTGGCTGGACATGAGCCAGCGTGTGCCCAGGTGGCCAAGAAGGCCAATGGTGTCCTGGTCTGTATCAGAAATAGTGTGGCCAGCAGGACCAGGGCAGTGATTGACCCCCTATAGTCGGCACTGGTGAGGCCACACACCAAGTGCTGTGTCCAGTTTGGGCCCCTCACTGCAACAAAGACATTGAGGTGCTGGAGTATGTCCAGACAAGGGCAGTGGAGCTGGGGAAGGGTCTGGAGCACAAGTTCTATGAAAAATGGTTGAAGGAGCTGGGGTTGTTTAGCCTGGAGAAAAGGAGGCTCAGGGGAGACCTCATCACTCTCTACAACTACCTGAAAGGAGGTTGTAGCCAGGTGGGTGTTGACCCTTTCTCTCAGGTAACTAGGGATAAGAGGAGGGGACATAGCCTCCAGCTGCGCCAGGGGAGGTTCAGGTTGGACATCAGAAAGAATTCCTTCACAGAAAGGGTTGTATAACATTGGAACAGGCTGCCCAGGGAGGTGGTGGTGGTGTCATCATCCCTGGGAGTGTTCAAGAAATGACTGGACATGGCACTCATATCATAGTCAAGTTGACAAGGTGATAATCACTCAAAGGTTGGATGATCTCAGAGGTCTTTTCCAACCTAATTGATTCTATGATATCTGTAGAGTAACCAAATACTACCTTGCATTTTGGGGTGTGTTTGGTGTCCCCTTTGGCTGGGGGTGGCCAATTCAAGCCCTTGTATAACAATTCTTGCTTTTATCAGCCTGTAGTATTTTGTTCGCTCTTGTGTTAGAAAGTGTCATGTCTTTGTTCTGTAAGTTGTTAGATGGCAAGTCTTGCTTGAGGACTATTCCCAGGAGAACCTGAAACAATCCTTCCAAAGTCTGCCATCTGTTTGAGAGGGATCTGGCAGCATTTGCTTCACTATGGCTTCCCCACTGACTGGGAGGAGCAAAATTAATTAGGTTAATACTAATTATATGTAACTGTGAGCAAACTGGCCATCTTTGCTGCGTGGCTGTTAACTTCAAGTCTTTGGAATATGCAGCACAAGGCTGAGAGATGGGCCACAACCTGTGTTCACAGAGCTTTTTTTTATTGGTTTTGTTTGCAAACTTAGTGCTCTCTTCTTTGGAGAACATACACCTTATTAAGAAAATTAAATAATATTCCCAAACACTGGAAATTGTTTTCTTCTGTGGAGCAGCATAACAACATTCCAATAGCACTGTGCAGTTTGAAAGAAGAAATAAGAGTATTCTCTTTGTTACTAGAAATACTTGAACACTACCCTAAGTTATGTTCCACTGTTTGGTTTATTAAACTGTTTTTACATGTCACACTAGCTTACTTGCTTCAGATGAGTGGATTTTCTCACTGAAGAGTTATAAAGAGAACTCGTAAGTTCTAGTGCTGTGTCAGAGCTCCTGAAGTCAAAACTGACTTGAATGTAACTAAGAAGAGGTGCTAAACCCTTTCTTTATTACTAATTTGTTTTATATTTTCTAAGGCATTTGGTTAAAGCAGAGGAGGCATTCATAATATTGTCATTATATTAAATTTATAGGAACAACACATTTCACTTCACAAATGTAATTATCTATATATACTTGTACCCTAAGTTCCAGTTAGATTTTCTAAAACTAGCTGATGCCACTGTCAAAAGGAATTATTTTATTCAGCTTCACTGAAAGAGCATTTTTTTCCTTAAAATACAATCATCTCCCCAGGATGTAAAGCATCATTAACAGTTTACCTGAATACACATACACGTACAGTTACTAGTGGAGAGGAGAGGATTTTGTTGCTCTGGACTCAGACTCTAAGCCATTGCTGCTAATGACAAATGTTTTCTGACTTTCTCTTTCTAAAACTCTGGTGTACATCTTGTTTTTCTCCATGGCACACAGAGCAAACCAACAAGCCTTTGACTTCCTTTTTGGCAACATTACAGGCACCAGAGGCGCCTGCGTCAGCTGACTGATGACAGAGGTTTCACTGTTCCCCACTACAATGGAAATGTATTCTCCTCTCCTCTAACTGAGGAAGGCATTGTACATATTTCTGAGATGAGTTTGCTATTTGAACTGTACTGTTTCCTCCTTTGGCTAGTTATTGCCACAAAGAAAAAGACAAAAAGGAACACAGATGGCTTAATCCTTTTTCCCTGCAATGCTGACTTGTAGGACCCCTTACCTCAAATCTTCTT